GGTTACTGTGAAAGCTGATAAGTCGTGTCCTGTTCAGAACAATCAACAAATTGATCCGGTGCTCAACAACTCTTCTTCCTCTTCCATTTGTCATTGAGTTTACCACTCGCCCATTGCACCACGGACTCGTTGCTTTGTCCGCGCAGGCTGTCACACAGCGACCAGTAGGAAAGGAAGGAATGCATCCGGAAATAGATCCAGCGCGCAACGGAACTTAACTGTTCCACTACCAAGCAGGTTAGTCTTCTATCCACTTCTCAATCTCCCGCGCTGCGTGCTGTCTAACGTGCAAGTGATTTAAAAAGTACTTCGGATCTCCTGAAAATAATTTTAATATAGGAATCTAGGAGGCAAACGACAAGGTGCAACTGAATCCTAATGGGCTCCTTCTATGAAAGCTAGTATAACCGATAATTATCAAGCGTTTTATATTTATTAAAACCGTCAATTTGTAGCAAGTCGAGTGCTGTACTCATGCTGACTCTGCTTGTCAATTATTTCGAACGCTCACTGTATTTCGCCTAACCAGTTACGGAGGTAGGATTATTAGTTTCATTTTAAACAAATTCGAAAGGCTCTTGTCTGCATCGGACTAATGATTAAAATTCTGCCTGCAACTGCCAAAACTTTGCATAATTAAATCTCCAAGTGGATACGTGTTTATGGAATTTCAGAAGGAAAGAAAACAGGGAAATTAATAGGGTAGCCCAATTGCCTGGACTGCAATACAAAACCTAATGGACTAGAGTCCAATTAGCAAGCACCAAGTACTTGTTAGAAGCAAGAAGAGAGAGAAGTACTGAGCGAAGAAACCGTTATTTTTGGCTGTTTCACGCGTTTCTATGAGTTACATACTAGAATAGGGATGGAAGTAAACGGTGAAGAAATAAAAAATTTCAATCTAAATGTATAAGGTATTGTGCAGAATTTTGCTGCTGAAAATGCCTCTCGAAGTAAGTGACCTGTACGGGTACTGTAGGCAAGATCGCCTTTTCAAGAACACTGGAGCTTCCCTTCTAACCCGCCTTCACGGAGAGAAGAAAACAATAAATGCATGACTGGCTCCCTTCAGCGGAAATCAGTGAAGTCACATTCTGTCAAGATGGTGAAGTGCACTATAAGTCAGGTGACGAACGCTAATAGCGTCCACTGCTAGATTAATCGCGTAAGCGGGCAGTTAACGAGCGAACAGCTAGCGAAATGACTTCACCCAATTCGCCGACTGCAAGCGCCTCTGAAAGAGAAAACAGCCGGGATGATTTTGATGAAGCTGAGGATGAAAGTACTTCGGGCCCCGAGGATGAACATAACACTGAAAGTAAGAGTTACTAAGACTTCCGAAAACGCATGTATGCATTGCCCAGTTTCCCTCCAGCGTACTCTCACAGTTGAAAACATAAGCATTTTGAATGACCTCTTAATTACTACTAGTGCGTTCGATTTATTTTAGTAGCAAAACGAATGCGCTAAAATTGTTTCCGTGACCTTGTCATTGCGTTTTCTCTGAAATTTTGGTCTTGTTAAAGTACGATGTTTTCTAAGTTTTTAAGATTAAAATTAGAATTATTTCGCAAAAAATAAGTGAAAGTGCCTAAAATAGGAATTTAGAATTCACAACTTCTTCAATCGATAGTACATTTACGTTTGATGGTTGAGAACTGCGTCTAAAAAGTAAACATTGATCAGTCTTAAAAAAAACAGCATATGTAATGAATAAGGTTTGAATAGTAGAAGTAAAGTTTTAAAGTTCTACCACATGGGAGTCAGTTACTGACAGGAAGGTCAGCAGCTGAATTAAATACATAACAAAATACATGTTAAGTACTTAATACTTTTTGGTAGGAAATCCGGCTTTGGCAGCCAGATAAATGTGTAAGAATTGGTGGATTCCATACACTGCAGTAATCTGAGTGGGAAAATTGAGTCAAATGTGATTAAGCGATGGGCGCGCGAAGAGGTTATCTTAGCTCAGCTGGCTAGAGCATTAGCTGTACCAAAAAATCCTCTTGTTGGCGTGGGTTTGAATCCAACCGAGGTCGCCAAGGTGTTTTTTCAAGTGGGCCAGCTGATTTAAATCTTTATTTATCCATTTGTCCATTTATAAGAAATGGCTAACACCTTACTAGTTTGGATAAGTATTTATACCTTGCTACACCAATTAATCATTGCTTTCTCTTGACAGGCTTTCCTTTTTTGACATATGAACCACCACAGTCGCGGTGGGAAAGGCTTCGAAGAAGAATCTCTAGCGAACTGTTTCCTTTACCCATCCTACCTGAACTAAAGGCCCTGTACCAACTAGCGACTGCAGTGGTAGGCAGTATTTTTGGAAATGTTAAAAAATCTTCTTAGTTTCTGACCTCTCTTGGACAAAATTGTCTTCTCTTTGA